TCCATCACTCGTCCCGTCAGAGCGCTCAGGGATTCTGTGTTTTCGCCGACATATCGCTTATTATGCAGTATTTGTGGCAACATTTGGACGATAGCCTCAAGTTTATGATCATTGACCTGGATGCTCACCAAGGTATGTTAACTAATGTTAATTAATTTGATTACCTAGCTAATATTTTTATTATGATAGGCAATGGCTATGAAAAGGATTTATTTATATTCACACAAAATCAGAGACAAAATGTTTACGTATTAGACGTCTATAACAAAGACATTTATCCGAGGGATGAGTTTGCCAAGGCTTTCATCAATAGAGGTGTGGAACTCCTATCCAACACGAGTGATGAGGAATACCTAAAACTATTAAATAAGTAAATTATGATAAAATGTTGTTTAAAGTTAAGTATAGATTTGATATTATAATTAGAAATATAGAGAAAGCGTTTCAAGAGTTTACCCCAAATCTGGTTATATATAACGCGGGAACAGATATACTAAGCGGTGACCCATTGGGTGGACTCAACATATCCAGGGATGGGGTATTGGAAAGGGATGTCATTGTCTTTCAAATGGCTAAAGACAACGACATACCAATTGTTATGTTGACCAGGTTTATTTAAAAATAATGCATTTATGTTAAAAATTATTATTATTTTATACCAAAACTAGCGGTGGATATCAGTTGTCAAACGCCCGGATAATCGCCGATTCAATCATTAATTTAATGGACAAACAGATAATCAATTCAGTGGTGGAACGGAAGGACAGTTATGTGAGAGTATTCATAAATAAGTCTCCGTTTATTAATAATAAACATGATACTCAATGTACCATGGACAAACCAATTAACAGTATTGATATAATTTCTAACAACCATCAAAAAATATAATAAAAATTGTGTTATTTAAGTATATTTATTGTGATATTTAATTAATTTTATAAATAGTAAACCAATAGCGCATATAATCTGAAATTTAAATATCTTAACAATTACTTAAAATGCATATTATTACTAATGAAACAAATGAGCAAGCACATACTTTGTATCCCTGGAATCGGTTAATACGGAATAATTTCCAACAATAAAATCCATCCCTTTTCTGACCCAACCTTTCCATCAGTGATACTAACTATTGGTTTCATATGAATACAACATTTAATGATTAATAATCATAAATACTTGAATACCTTTATTTTAATATTAAATGAAAATCTTTTGTGTATTAAAAATGAATTCAATTGTTTATACGATTTAATAGACTGTTTGTTAAGTAGTGATGAATAGTGTATAATAAACAGTAGGGATACGAAAAACTCTATACAAATGATAATTACTATACATTTTACTATAAATATAAGATTGCCGTATATAGTCATAAATAGTGGAAAAGTAATTATTATGGAAATTGTTATCCAGTATATGCCCAAAAATTTAGCCCAATAGTTATGATTATATTCACCAATTTCAACAAATATATCGTTATATTTTTGTATAGATTTATAACCATGTCCAAAACTCATTGATTTAATTTTCAATGTTAAATAAAATGTTATAATCGTGTAGTAGGTTATCTGCCAGATTAAAATTTGATTGAAATAGTAGCCCCATATAGTCCAGATGATTGTATGCGGAATGGCATATAATATTATTTGAATCCATGTTAAGTGTATAGAAAATATAATAAAAAATGCAATTACTGAAATATATATGAATAAATGTGTTACAAATTCAGTGACAGAAATATATTTGCGGCTAAATGTAAGTAATTTATAGACAACTTGTTTGTCGTGAATCCCAATACTAATGGGTGTTATTAAACCGGAAAGCATTGAAAACACCCGCAAATCAGTCCTTTCTATACCTCTACTATAGTTATAATAATTTAATAATTGTGATAATAATACAATAAAATGTCCATTAATAAATAGAAGTGCAATAATATTTCTCACATTTAATCCAATAAAATAAGCAAAATCACCAACTATTGCATGAAACATAAGTGTATGTACAGGGATTATGACCAGCACAGTTTGTTTTATAATGCTTATTATATAAAATATAAATATAAAATACGGATTATTAATAGGATGCCGTTTTTTGTGGTCATTGTATGGCCTGTAAAATGACAGACCAATACTGTAGAGGTGAGTACCAGCACTCGCAATCACCAATGATCTAGGTAATACTTTGTGTAACTTAATTTCTATTTTGGTTGGATTAACCTTCATTGTTAATACGTTGAATTTTGTTCAATATATTATACTAAATATTTAAATACTTATTCAATACCAATCATATGAAAAGTTAAAATTATAATGACGTAGGTAAGTTAAGCTAAACGACACTATTTACTATTCTTAGAAATTAACCTAATTATTGAGAATTTATATTTTTAATTGAGCAATTATTTTTATTACACAATAATTATTTTAATAGCTCACTTAAAAATATAATAAATGCAATTTTGTTTATTATAGTTATATTTGTTACGCTTTGGGATCTCAGAGACAGACAATCGGGTGCATTGGGGTGTATATGTCAGCCCAAAGGGGTTTACAAATAACTGGGGGACAGATCTTAAGCGCTTACGCCAGTCGTAGCTCATATCGGGACGCCAGGCTAGTGGTCACTACTGCTGGTCAGTGACGCTTACGGTTGGCGCTCATTGTAATATACTTGCCGTAGGGTTAGGAAAGCGAAATATAGGTGCCCTTCACTATACCTAATCCTCTTGAGACGAGTCACGAAATATGCGTACCCTTCGGGATCGGTGTTGGGTTCGATGTAGGAGTCCGAGTGACGATCGGCGTCAACACACGTCTAGAAATGTGTTGGAATGAGTTCTCCAAGTATTTTTGATTGTCGATCTGGTCACACTAGTTTTACTGCATTTATGACATTATGAGACCCCATCACGAGATACAGATTTGCTGTTCCTTTCATAACAGCCAAACGAGTCAATCGTAGAGTAGAGAAACTGTGTTTGCCTACAGTTTGGGAATTTCCATTCACTCGCAATATTGCAGTGAGTCGTCTAATAATCATAAGATCTCTAAGAGTTTGGGAATAGTTTGTGGGAATATTTAATTAATTATATATTCAATTATAAGTTATCAATAATGGCAATATCATATTAATTTTTTGAAATGTTTTGGCATTCATAGTATGGCATAAATAGTGATTATTTTATATTAAATATAATAATGTAATAAATTAATTTTTATCATATATAACATATTCTTTATTTAACAAGTATATTTACAATAAATTATTTGTAATTTATTAGTTTAATGAGGTAGGGTGCTACTGGTGGGGTGGGGTTTTAAAGTCAAATCCTACTATAACACCAGAGATAACACTTATGTATTCATATAATTTCCATTAACCATGAACAAATATAATAAACATTGTGGTTTTAAGTATATTTATTGTGATATTTAATTAGTTTTATAAATAGTAAACCGATGGCGCATATTATCTGAAATTTTCATAATTTAGCAATTACTAAAATGTTAATAACAATTAATGAGCAAGCACATACTTTGTATCCCTGGAATCGGTTAATACGGAATAATTTCCAACAATAAAATCCATCCCTTTTCTGACCCAACGTATTAACAATGAAGATTAATCCAAACAAAGTAGAAATCAAATTATGAGCATCCAGGTCAATGATCATAAACTTGAGGCTATCGTCCAAATGTTGCCACAAATACTGCATAATAAGCGATATGTCGGCGAAAACACAGAATCCCTGAGCGCTCTGACGGGACGAGTGATGGAGACCTCCGCCGAGGTTTACGGCCCACCCGTACGTCAGCGCCATATATGCCGCTAAAACACTGCCCGACGTCTGCCATTTGAATGGCGTGATTAGGGCTGACCTTAATATAAAACTTGGCACGACCCTGAGCATGTATATTTCCAGTGCATCGGCTATAGTCCCCGAGTTATAGTGAATGTCCTGGATAAATTGTTTGGTATGTATTAACTCGAGTTCATTGGTATTTATTGGTCTCACGGGTGAGATATGGATAAATGTTTGACCCTTTTTCTATGGATCATAATTTTATATATAAACAAGGTAATTAATTTTTAAAAATTTAATTAATATTATATTACTCACGACAAAGTGCTGGCTCAAATTATTATAGATTTTAGTCCACTTTTGTGTATCAAAATGATGCAAATTTTCTAACCCATAGAAACTGATACCGTAATTGTTATTATAAACAATTGGGTAAAATAACTTGCTATCACAAATTATATTATCATCCATAATATGATAATTAAATAATTCATGATTGATAACTTTATTGTTAACTTTGTACATTTTATAAAAATGAAAATAATATTATATTAACTTTTTAATTAATAATTTCTAATTTTTAATATCATTATGTTTACTCATATTAACTCTTTATTATATTTATACAATTTTTAAAATATAATACAGTTTTGGAAATACATTAGAAAAATAATAATTTGTTTATATATCCTTTCAGTTATATCCTATTAAATATAATTACAAATATAGCAATATATTACGTAAATACAAATATTTTTATTTTTATTTTGAAGGGATGTTAAACTTCCTTAATGTCAATTTTGACATTTACCATGTTTTACATGAATTAATTAACAGATATTGTATTTACTTTTTGCAACCCATATAACAGCGTATAATACAGTACCATATAACATTTAAAAAATTATACTGAAATATACTGTAAATTATTTAACTAATAAATATTTCACATACAGTATAATTAATGATCAATTATATACTTTGCAATATTGTATAGAATAACTGCATGATTATGATAACTAAACAGGATTCTTGTTTTTATACTATATAAAAAATGTTACCGTGCAAAAAGGGTTACAAAATATTTTCACAAAAAAACATTAGAATTGTCGATCAGATATACGATAATGTTATGCAAAATACTAATTTGTACATTAAAACAGACATTAGCTCATTTAGTAATTTGTCTATTATTATGTAAGATTCAGTAGTCTAGTGCAAAATGTGTGAGCTAGCACACATCTCGCAGGTACTACTATGGGACCCATCGGGCAATAACATAGGCCACTGCGCCCTACAATTATCCGACGGCACCTACATCAGTTTTTGGCCAGAAGTGCAATACACTCGTCGTGATTATGTTAAGAAGTTACCGGTGAAATCAAAATGGTCAACATATAAACAGGATAAGTGTGCCGAGAATGACAATGGCCCTGATCACAAAATAGTCATAGAGAATAGCATGTTAAGTAATGAAAGGATCAGGGATTGGTGGCTTAACAATCAGTACCAAGATTATTGTTTGCATAGTAATCATTGCGCTGATGTGGTTTATAAAGCCATCAAAATAGGGCTTAATGAAGGGTATTTATTTATCTTGCTAAGTTAATTTATATTATTTAATTAATTATTTTTTTGGTGAAGATTTGATGATAAATTAGATGATATTGAGAGTGCCATAAAAGACTGGAAAGATAGGGTACAGTCGCATATTACTGGTGATGTCATGTGGTTTAAAGGACCAAGCACACAGAAATTGTGTAAAACCTAATTTGACTCGGTTATTGTATCAATTGATTTTGTAAACATTACAATAAACAGTATTATAGTATAATAAATATTACTGTTAAATAAATGTTTAATTTTAAAATATTAGTCTCTCAATAGTATGATTTAATAAATAAAATGCAAAAATTAAAATTTAAACGAGCTATATCACAAATTATATTACCATTCATGATGTGATAATTAAATAATTCATGACTGATAGTTTTATTGTTAACTTTGTACATTTTATAAAAATAAAAATTATATTATATTAACGTTTTAATTAATAATTTGTAATTTTTAATATCATTATGTTTATTCATATTAACTCTTTATCATATTTATACAATTTTAAAATATAATACAGTTTTGGAAATACATTAGAAAAATAATAATTTGTTTTGTATAATTTTTTTTATATATCCCTTCAGTTATATCCTATTAAATATAATTACAAATATAGCAATATATTACGTAAATACAAATATTTTTATTTTAATTTTAAAGGGATGTTAAACTTCCTTAATGTCAATTTTGACATTTACCATGTTTTACATGAATTAATTAACAGATATTGTATTTACTTTTTGCAACCCATATAACAGTGTATAATACGGTACCATATAATGAAGAAATTTTTATACTGTAATATACTGTAAATTTTTTAACTAATAAATATTTCACAAATAATTAATGACCAATTATATGCTTTGTAATGTTGTATAGAATAACTGCATGATTATGATAACTAACAGGATTCTTGTTTGTATCCTATATAAAAAATGTTACCGTGCAAAAAGGGTTGCAAAATATTTTCACAAAAAAACATTAGAATTGTCGGTCAGATATACGATAATGTTATGCAAAATACTAATTTGTACATTCATGCAGTGTTAGTTCACTTAGGAATTTGTCGATTATTGTCTAAGATTTGAATTATCAGTAGTCTAATGCAAAATGTGTGAGCTAGCACACATGCCGCAGGTAGAGTGACCAGATCATTTTCTCAAAATTGAGCTTAGAGCTGGACATTTTTATAAAATAGTCAAAATTACGATCTATTTTAAGAAGACTGTCAGGATCTGGCTAAGCTGGCAATCGGGATTTTTTGGTTGGATATGAAAGTTCATTTAATG